TTAGCTTAGAAGAGTCAGAAGTGTGTGCAGTGTACACTTGCAGTGATCACTTGGGTAATTGGCTGTTGGCTTCATGAATCAGAAAGTGTTGCAGAACACAGAGAAGTTACAGATTCTCTTTGGATATTTCTTGGAGATTTTGCTTCTTTTAAAGGATCATCCATGTTTATAGTTGTGTTGACTATTCAATTTAAAAAGAAATTCATGTAAGAAATTCAGGCTTCAGAGAAAAGAAGTTTCACAGCAATATGCAGCCTACATAAAATGGTATTTCTCAACAAAAATAGATAATAACAGGTCACATTCAAAAATCCTTCAAAAGTCGGTGGATTTCTTTCTCATTCTTTCTTATTCTAAATAATAAGAAAAAAATGTCAATTTCAGAATGTTCATCATATTGTTATGTTATAGTGTTATGTTACAGCATTGCATAAGCTATTTATATGGATTAGACAAAACAAAAGCACCATTTTATTACACGTTATGACACTAAATTTCTCCAGTCATCACACTGCAGATAACTATGTAAAATATATTTACTACTAAATTCTGTTTGTCTCAAGCACATGCATTTTTGGTATACTTACAGCCCATTTTTTGTTACAGGTTACTTAGAGGGCATTATGACAACTAATGATGTTTATATATGCTGTTTACCTGCTGTATACTATGCAAATATTAGTTAATAATTAAGGCAGCACATGGTAATAAAGAAAAATAGTGTAAGAATGACTAGTTGACTGACCTTTGTCTTCGTTTGGCTATGTGGATGTATTTTTCTGCTGTACTAATTCATCAACAGCATCTTTTACAGTGATTGTAATTAATTTGGGATGTAGCAGCTTATAGGTGAAATGATTCACATTTTTTCATTTCTGAAGGAAATGTTTTATTTTCTGTTAGCACTTACAATATGTGCAACATTCTGGTTGTTTACTTAGGTTAGCAAATTTGTGGAAGAGTCCATATGTCTACCGTGTCTTTCAATATATAGTCTTTGTTTGCTTGCAAGAGTTTCTTGTTTGCAGCTGGATTTATTTGAATGTTTGAAAGCTTCTGAAGGGAGTATCGAAATTGCATTGTTGATGCTAGTCTGAAAGAGTAAACTTCAGGGATGTTTGGGAAGAGGGATGATATTAAACTAAGTCTTAATTTATTACTTGTGTTAGTAATGTTAATTAACATTAGTAAAATTGCCTTTATTTAAAAATTAATGATTAATTTTATGTTTTGATTTATAGCTCAGTCAACCAAAAAACTGGTGAGGTAGACTCATGATGTGTAAGATGTAATCAAATCTGGCTGTTATTCAATAGCTTAATCAACAGCATCTTACAGAAAATTTGCTGTTTGACCTATTCTTTTAACAAGGTTTATTTACCTTGTATTTCATTTCTGGATGTACTTAATGAAACAAAAACTTATGAGCAACATTTAGTGTTGATTATTTATTTTTAACGGGAAAGTTGAGTAACTTACTTTGTAAGGTGTCATCTGAGTATTAATTTTTGCTTAGTAACAGTATTGTGAGGACCTTATAGCTTGTTCCTTGTGCCACAGAATGTATAGGGTCTTGGGATTTATACCTTTGCTGCATAGTGACATTTTTTGTTAAAGATTTTCTCATTGACAGGCTATGGAGTAAAGTAATAAATGGGATGTGATCAGCATAATTTTGCTTATCTTGGACTGTGTTCTGACATAACTTAATGACTTCCTGAGTATTATTGTCGGTTGTGTGTCACTGTAAAGCATCTCTCAACCTCTTCCACTTTTAAATCCTCAAATGATTCACGTTTTCTTTAAGGATGTTTTCTTTCAATGTGGTTTCCCTTCAGTTGATAGTGTTTTGCACCAGGCAGCGCTGGTCCATTATGATCCCAGTAAGAAAAGCTTCTGTGAAGTATCTTTTAATACCCTGTTTATTAGTGCTGACATTATAAGGAGGAAACACTGTAGACAATTCTACATCTCCTTCGGTTGTGGGAAACCTGAGAGCTGTGGCATTGAATAAGCCTCCAACCCATGCACTGGCATGCACAAAACACCCTGGCCATAGAAGAGTTTTCCACTTTTTTATCATATTAGCTGTGATAGGATTTTCTTACAAGGAAAGGACTCCATTCCTAATTTCTACTGTCAATTAGAAAGAATGTTAATGCAAGACCTTGTTGCTGCGCTTTTGGATAAAGGCAAGGACGCACAGGTGGAGTAATTGCTAGTACCAAGTGGATGCTCTCTGCAGGTTTCTCTGCTACAGTTGCTTGGCCAAATTTATTCTGCACCCAAGGAATATTATGTAGCACGACACAGTCCAAAGGCCACGCTGGATGTGAAGCGCAAAGAAGAAAACATGTAATACAAAACTGATCTCTATCTCAGCTTGTACCAAACGGAGAAGGACAGGTAGCCTGGTCAGAGTTCATCATTGTACTTCTCTCAGTCATCAACATGCTGAGAATCTCAGGAAGAAAAAGATACACATTATGAATAATAGTAAGTTTCAGAGCATGGAAGAAATGGAGAGAACATCAAGTAGGTGTATCGGGTAATTATGTAGGTAGTTTAGGTCCATTATTGATAATGTTAATGTGTCCCAATCTGAAGCTTCACAGTCCAGTTGCTCCACCAGGGATAGATACTTGGCAACTTCCCCACTCAGAGCAGCGTGCTACTGGATCACTTGCTGTTACATCAATTCCTTGGTGTTGTTTTTTATCACATGACATAAGTTCGCAAAAAAAGGGACACAAGGCAAATTCAGATTTCAGAACCTTCAGGGATTTTGTCATTGCCATTTACATCCTTAGGTCCTGCTCAGACTGTTAGAACTGACCTTTCATTGTATGGCATTTGGTGCCACAACCATGTTGTTTTAACCATTCCCACTACTTGTCTATGAATCTTGTGTCTTGTTTCATTCTATTCATGGTCTTGTTCTATGATGCCCCAGTGGTTCTTGTCCTTAGACTCTAGAAATACACCTGTAATCCCCTTACATGCACATTCTGGCTCTCCATGTGGCCATAGTTGTGACCGGGGAAATTTCCTTTACCGTGTTGATATGCTAAGAGTTTCCTTGCTCAAAATACTGCAGAAAGCAGGATGTTTGGTACTTCCCAACCTACCATTTTGTCAGTACCAAATGCAGGCTGAAACGATGGCAGATATTATCACAGTCGATGTCACATTCATGAGGTTTCCATTTCAGCCACGTGATTTTAACTGACAATGTCTCATTCCTTGCATTTTCAGTGGATACAAAAAGGTAAAGCATCATGAAGCTTGGAAGCTGGATATTGTTTAGAATGATTATTTATTTACCTTATGTACAGCCCTAAAACACCTTGCAGCTAGATCCTTGATTTTTCCCAGTTTTTCCCCGTGACCTCCCAATTTTCTTGAACTGGCAGTGAGTGGGTAACTAAGATGAGGAGTTATCAGGGATTTTCTGGTGATTTAGGTGAAGTTTTTTATTTGAATAGATTTTATTTGTTCCAACTGCAGTTAAGAATAGGAAAACTGAAGTAACTCCTCTATGCTTAAGGGCAGATTGGTACTTATTTAAATATACCAAATATCTGTGTCATCAAAAAAAATATTACTGGTTTGGACATTCAAACCTTATTCACTATAAATTCTGACCATAAACCCCCTATTCAGATTTTACATCTCAGTGTCCACCAGTTAACTGACAGCCAACTATGCAATGATCTGTGTGAATTTCAGATAGAGCTCATTTTTAGGTGCTATGCAAACATCAAAGTGGAACTTCATCTCTAGTCTCGGGAAAGAATCTACTTTCAAGGCATTTGACAAACAGATTTTTTTTGTTTTAAGTTTAACTTACAGGGAGGGAAATGTGTTTTGTGGACACATTTGAGTAGATTAATAAATAGTATTTGTATATATGTAACCAAAACAGTAATTTGTTAGGTAGGAGACAGATGCAGGGGAATAACATGCCAATCTGCACATACAGTTGTGTTGTGTTCATGATGAACTGCTGTTTATTCAGGGCCAGTGTAGCTTGGCAGCATCAAAAGAACTTATAGCTAGAAGATGGCAAAAATGTATCTCAAATACAAACAGCAGAAACATAAAGGAGAAAATAAAACTTCTTTGTTTACTGCTAGTTATCAGAACTGCAGACTGAAGAGAGACATTTACACTTTGTGCATTATGTCCCCAGTTGAGAAAGGCAGATGTGTGGTTTATGTTTCAAAATCAAGACAAGTGAGCTCGTCCAGGAATAAATCAGACTAGGAATGATGAATGTTTACCTCCTGTGTACTTGGTGTGCAATTTTTTTGAGACAAGGAGTTTAAAAGTAGTTTGCCTCACTCAGTCCTTAAGGGGTGGATGTGTGTGTGGGTGTGTATGTGTGTGTGTGTGTGTGTGTGTATTTTTTTTTTAAGATGTAAACAGAATTCAAAAAGCAGGAATAAAGGAATCTAAAGTAACTATCTCTGGTAAAATTGTGTACAATTATGTAACATCATCATGGACACCTTTAAAGGACTGCAAAGTTAAGTCGGCGCGTCCAGCTTCCTTTTGAGTGCAGGATTTTGCATCTCTATAGTATTATTTTAACATCTGTTATTTTAGATAAAACACTGACATTACAAATTTAATATGTTTGTTTTTCTAACAAAAATGTGTTTTATACAACAAATAGCAATAGTCCAGTACTTTAAGCAACCTTGCAATAGCAATTAGCAGCAACAAGTAAGAATTATATTTTGCCAGCAGTTTGAAGAAGGAAAAACCTGCATTTAATATTTTAGTGTTCTTCAGAAATAGAAGTCCATTACCGTCCTGTGAGGCACATTATTTTTTTTTTTAGGCACATAGCTGTTTTTGACAAATGGAATGGAATTCTGTTGCCTGTTACAGTCAGTGACACTTACTAACACTTCTGGCTATTTTTACCAATCATTTGGATGAAAAGATCAAGGAAAAGATGTTGACATTTCTTTTAATTTCTTATTGTATTTCAGGACTGTGTATTACACAGGAGTCTTGTTGGTGATCTGAAAGCATTCATAGATAAATATAGGTTTGATGTACTTGTCATTGTGGCCAACTGTTTGTCAGATGAGAAGCAAACGAAACAACAAATAGCAGTATACTCGGAAAATGTAGAGCTGGGCAGTCAAGTAAGTACCTGTAAAAAGAGTCAATGTTCTTCTTGGAAAAAAAAAATTGGGTTTTTCTTTGAGGCAGTATATATCAAAATGTTGATTAACTGAGGTCAAAAAATAGCAACAGTTGATCAACAACTGAACAGCTGTTTGAAATGGCTGCATTTATATGACACAAAGTGAAATCTATATCATTGTTTTACACCAGGCTAATAGAAGAAGTGTATGGTTACAAGAAATACCAAATGAGGCAAGGTTTTTCAATTCACCTAAAATGATCTTTCTTCAGCAGTAGTTTCGGATTGGGTTTGTATTGTGACCTACACAAATGGGTCTTTGGCAATGAGGGATAAGCAAACACATTGGAAATGGTAATGACCAGAACTCATATACATATATGTCATTTCTGAAGAATTCAAGCTCTGAAATGAAGCTAAATTATTCCTAGGATGTTCATTTACCCGAAGCAAGGTGCTGTCTGGTTTTTTTACTATACTTGTCCCCAGATGGAAGAAACCATCTTAGTGACAACTTTTTGGACCATTTTTGGTTTTAGGGACAGGTGGCTAAATGACTCTGTTGTTTTCATGGTCAATATAAATGTATTTATTTTATGAATATAATCATCCTATTCTAGAAATACATTTCTAATGTACTACCACATATTTATCTCAGGTTTCTTAAGGCAACAACCAAATATTCATTTGGATTTTCTGTCACTAGCAAGAAGTGAATTGGAAAGTCAAATGGTATAATTTCTGACCAATTATATGGCACATATTTTGTATTAGTCTTCTATTGTAATACTTTATCTATTTAGGGGTCATAATAAGGATGATGCAGCAAAATGGCTAAGAAATAGGTTAACAGGAGTACATAGGTATGGCTGCGTTACATGGTGAAGTCGTCAATATATGCCCATGTTTGCAATGACTTCTGAAATATCCTGTTTTTCAACAGATCTGCTGTGAATTAGAAGAATGTCAGAATCCTTGCTTGGAGCTGGATCCTCTAGAATGTGAATGTGATCAAATTCTCATTTATAATCAAGAAAATTCTTTGGCGACCTGTGATCAAATTTTTCTACTAGTTAAGGAAGTCATAAATAGAAGACAACCAGAAATGGCATCAAACAGTAGAACTTCTTCTACTGAAGCTGTTGCTGGAAGTGCTCCACTTTCACAAGGATCTTCTGGTATTATGGAGTTATATGGGTCTGATGTAGAACCACAGCCCAGTTCTGCAAATTTTATAGAAAACCCTCAAGATCTAAATGGATCTATGCAAGCTCACATTGATGTCAATGTAGACCTTGTAAGCCCAGACAGTGGATTGGCTACCATCAGAAGCAGCCGGTCCTCCAAGGAGAGTTCTGTTTTCCTTAGCGATGACAGCCCTGTTGGAGAGGGTGCTGCTTCCCATCACAGTGTTCTGTCTGGCTTTGATTCTTATAGCCCTATTCCTGAAGGAGCTATAGCTGAAGAACAAAATCCTCTTTCAGGAAACAATAGTGATAACTTCGACCTTTTCAGTTTTGATCTAGCACCTGTGGTTGCAGCTCCATCTGAGTCATCTTCTCATTCTGTTGATTGTTCCCCAGCAGATGACTATTTCCTTAATAGTGATTTGTCGGAAGGGCATCAACTGCCTGTGCAGAAAGAAATTGATGAGGCAAACCTCTTAGAAAGTGATACAGCAAATTATTCAACTGATTTGCTTATGACAAAAAATGAGGAAGACAACTTGGCTGAATTTGATGAGAATCCAGGAGAAATGTGTGAGAAAACTTCAAGTTTGATCAATTTAGTTGAAGGTGATTCTTCTTCACCAGAAATGTTGAAATCTGCTGAATCAAGAATTCCACCAACTCCGATGAACAGTCTTGTAGAAACTTCACCATTAGATAATGGGCAGCCTTTAATTTTCCCACAAGATGTCATTAAAAAAATCAATGAAATAGATGGCACAAATTATTCTCAGTCTCGTGTTAGATACGGGAGCTGGTGGGATGGCTTTGACCTAGAGTCCAGAAATGCTGATGCATGGAGTTCAAGTGAGCAGGAATCTGTGTTTCAGAGTCCTGTCTTATGGAAGGATTCTAAAGAAAGTCCCTTGCAACGAGAACATATTGATAGAAGAGCCTCCGATTCTGTGTTTCTCCAAAAACAGCCAAAGCAAATGGAATACACAAGAGAAGATCTGTGGGATAATCAGTTTAAACAAGATAATTGGAACCATGAAAATCAAGAGAAAAACAGTGAACATTCACGTTTGCAAACTGCGTCTTTAGATGAGACAAAGCAAGAACTGGAGAGCTTTACTGATCCATGGAAGGTCAGTCAGCCAACACCTATGATGTCAGATGCATGGTGTAGTGGTGAAGGAAAAGGTAGTGAGCTAGCTGAAGACTCTTACAAACTCTGGACTCAGTTTGATGAAGGAGAGACTGCTAGATCCCCAGAAAATACATGGGACATGGCCAAACTAGACAGAGAAAAAAGATCAGTGAATATTCCTGAGGAATGGGCCATGTCAAAAACTAGTTTATCAGGTTCTTCAGAAATCACAGTGGACAATGATACTGAAAACCCAGAAATGTGGGATAAAGGAAGATATTATTCAGTAAAAGAATATGGAAAATCTGAAAATGCAAATTCTGTTTTGAACAATATGCAAAATAATTCCAAATTGAAAACAGAGGAAAAAGCTGTATTTGGTGACACTAAACGTAGACCCAAACAATTTGAAAATATAGATACCTGGAATATGTATGATAAAAACATCAGAAAAGAAGTACCAGAAGTAGTAGTGCCATGGGAGGATAACTTCTTGTATAAAAACTCAGCTCTTAATTCTTCAAATATAGGGGAAGATTTAGTTGTTTCTCCACCAGACACCAACTATTCAACATCTGATTCATATGTATCACCTACATATGTGGAAGATGAAAGAGAAAATGATTTTGATGAAGAAGCAGTTACTGGTGAATTCATGAACCCGAATTTGGCTGAGCCAAAAGTACTTGAGAAAGCAAGTAAGGAGCCATTATCTCCTAGCAACATGCCTTTTTCAAGCATCAGAAATACAGACATCTGGAACACTCCCCTAAATAACATCACCCAGTTACAAGAAAGAAATTCTGAAATTACTGCTCTTTCTGCCTCTGCTAAGCCTTTCCTTAATCCAGAACAATCAGCTAATCTATGTTTTTCATCTGAGACATGTACCAGTGAAAATAATTTTTCTGTGGCTGGAAACAGAAGAATAACACCAGCATATAATCAAACAGTTAATGACTTATCACTACCACAGAGCAAATTAAATACTAGACAGACATCAGCTGACAATGCAGAAACAGTGGTCACTGTTCCTGTAGAAGACACAGTCACATCTGTGCCAACTTCAGACACTGGTAATAGTTTGGATCTGAAAACATGTGACTTAGGAAGTGAGACACTTAGTAAGAAGGCAGCACAGAACTTTGGTGGAGTTGATGGAAAGCTGAATACTGAGGATTCAGTGCAGCAGCAGAACTCATGGAGTCTGCAAAGTGAGCAGGGTTGTGAGGAAGGCTGGGACAGTGCCGTTGTCATCTCTCAGGAAGGAAAAGAATGTAATATAACACCTGAGATAAGTGGGCAGCAGATGATTCATGACATTTGTAATAAACCAGTACAAGAGGTCAGTGAATCTTCATGTAAAGCAGATTTGGAAGGGAATTGGTCAACAGCTGAAGATCCCATCTCCCCTGAAAAAATGAGGAGAAGTGTTAGTTTGGAAGTGTTAGTCACAGAGAATGAGTCATTTTCCAATCAAAGGAGTCCAATTAGTCAGGAAGAGAGGAAAGACTTGTTGCAAAATAATGTAGAATCTTCCTCAAGTCCTTCTGAAGAAGGCAGAAATTATGAATCTTTTAATGATCCCATACCACAAAAATACAATTACGGTGAAACCTCACAGCTGCTTTCTGAGCGAGTGGAAAAGGAGGCTACGATGATGGATGATGCGACAAGTTCCAAGGTGGAAAGTGTCTCTGAAAGTTCTGATAAGGGTAGTGATAATCCTGAAAATAATTCTTCTAAAATGTCTACAGTCTCAGGCATCTGGAATGACTCTGGAAAGAATAGTTGTGGCTTAGCCACATCAATTCCTTTGATGAATGAACCACAAGAAACACTGGGACAAAGGAAAGAAGGTTTACATGAAGTGGCTCCTAACCACACAGTCATTTCTACTTCAGAGTTAGAATCTTTCAAAAATAGCTCAGAGCTGGAGAGGACTCATGAAAATGCTTTCGTAGATGAGTTTAAGAATAGTCCTTCTTCTGGGTATGTCAGTGTTCCTGACATTGCACATATGTCTGTGGTGGAAAATTCATTTTCACATGAAGCAGGTTCTGGGAGAAATGAAAACTCTGAAAATTTAGAACCTGCTAATAATCTTTGTGGAGAGCCATGTGCAGTGCTTAATGACAGTTTTCCCCAAACTGCTTGGAATTTACAGCCACATGAAGATTTACAATCCCCTGGAACAAGTCCTGAGGCAAGTGAAGTCCTTGAAATGGAAAACACCACAAGCCTTTCAAGGGATATACAGTTAAAAAGCTATTTGGAAGAAGATACTGTGTGGAGTAATTCAATAAATGATTATGCACACTCAAGTGGAACAAGTCCTGATTTAAGTGATACATCTGTGAATGTGTGGGGAGACCTTTCAGTTGCCAGTCATGACAAAAGAAAGAGGGATATGTGGGAGATTAAAAACAATAAAAATCTTGAAGATTCTTCTAAAAACAATGAATTTGGGAATGAATGTGGAGAAGGATTTGAAACAAGTGCTGAACAGAATGAAGTTCCTAAAAGCTTAGATTTTTGGAATGCCCATGTAGATGATGATACTGTATCTTCTTTATCAAGTCCTGACATAAATGAGGATTCAGAGAATTCAGAGGCGAGTCCAGAAGTGATTCATGAAGATTCGATGTGTGAAAACAAACAACACAAAGCATCTGAAATTGGAGAGGATTATGCTCAGTCCAATGCAACAAGTCCAGAAGGAAATGAAGACAATATAGGTGCAAAGACTAAGGTGGGAGAGGAGGTCCAGGTCATCTTCAGTGAAAATTCTGAAACAATTAAAGCCAGGAAGATAGTGCAAGAGGATGTGACTATTGACTCTGTTGCACATAATAAGACTTCTGAATATTTAGGCCAGTGTGAAACACTTCAGAAAAACGCTCAAGTGAGTATTTTCAATGAAAAAACAGATAATGGAGGAGACTCATATTTGTATCAAATGAATGAAGATATGACACCGACTTTTGCTGTTGATGATAAAGAAGAGTATTCTTCAAAAGCTGTAGATGTGTGTAGTATGTCATTGGAAGCTGATTTAAGAACTGATCCAATATCCACAGTTGGAGCATTTGGTTTTCCAGATAACAGTTCAGAATGGTGGAATTCACAACCTTGTGAAGAAAAGCAATTGGAAGATCAATATTCTGTTTCAAGTCACTCTGCAACAAACGAGTTAACAAATAGTAAAGAGGACTCCTGGGGTTCACCTTCACATGATGAACAACAAACAGAAGCACATTTCACTAGTACAGGTAGCGATGGAAATCAGCCTGCCTCCTTGTACTGTGACGAAAATGAAAGGCTAGTACATCCTATCAATAGTCCTGATAGTCAGATAAATCAAGACACTGTACAGTTCAAACAATCTGATCCTTTCATACGGGATAAAGAAGAAAGGGGCTCGAAAGAGCAGTTGTTTCCTACAGATAAGAAAAATCAACTGACTCCACAGAATTCTTTTTCAGATGTGGAAGGAGCTGTACCAAATACATCAGTTCAAGCAATCACTGTACTGGATCTACCAAAAGACAATGAGGGAAATGCAAGCCGTGTTCCTGAGGAACAACAGCAGGACACTTGTGAAAGATTAGAGGTGCACAGCTCCCTGCCAGGTGCTTTCACTGTGGAAGACGTATCTTTTGAAATGACAGAAAAGTCAAGTCCAGGGTGGAATATATTAATTCCCCAAACTGCACATGTCCCAGATATTTTACAGGATAACACACAAGAAAATAATCAGCTGTTTTCAGTAGAACCTGACCTGTGGACTAATGCTGAGCAGATTGTCACTTTGAAACCAGATGGTGAAAATCCTGATATATTAAGTCACTGTGACCAAGACAATGGTTCAGAGTCATCAGGCAGTCCTGATGTGTGCCAGGAGCATAGAGCTAAGCATGCCTCTGCCTCACCTGCTCAGATTGCAGTGGAAACTGAAGCCAAAGATAGTCGGCCGATTCATGCGTGGTCAAATATGAGTAAAGAGGCAGGTTTTGATTCAGAGCATCAGTTAGTAATGCAGAAGGTGGAGACACACTCTGAAAGTGTTAGTCCCCAGGACTATGAACTGGAAAAGACTGATGAATTCTATGAGCTGTTCCCTGCTAATACTCAAGAGCCTCCTGAATTTGCAATTTTGGAAGAATCTGATCAGGAAAATAAACCGGTTATTGACCAAATTGAGCCGACTGAGATTGCCAATGGAGCTAGAAAAGTGACATCCTTAGATCTGAAAGACACATTCTGTGAAAATTTCACCCATGCAAGCCGTCAAGGAACACCAACTGATACAGCTCAAATAGAGACCTCTCAAATGCATTTGTTTCCCATGGATTTCACTCAACCTGATAGGGCAGAACAAAGCTTAAAAGAAATTAGTGCCTTGGCTGAAGTTGTAGAATATTCTGATACTGTCCGTAGAATAACTGGTGATAAGCTAGACATGTCAGAAGAACATGTGGATGAATCTGAGACAGGGGTAGAACATAGCATCAGGAACACATCAGTAACTAATGTCCTGGCAGACACATGTGGTGGAATGAACATGCTGGCAGTAGTAGCTAGTGAAGCAGCAGAAGGGGAATCAAAGGATGGAGAGATACACTTTCCCAAATCGTTTCTACCTGGTGCTAATGAAGGCCATGAATCTGATTCAAATAATCAACTGTTTGGTGACACACCAAAAGAATATGAAGCTGTAATGGAAAATTATGTTCCTGTGTTTAAGGAAGTGCCCTGTGACCAATCACCAGTGGTGTGTGTTCCATCGTCCTCTGCATCTTTTGATGCCGAACTCTCTGGCAGCAGAGAGTGTGCAGAGGGTGAGATCTTGTTACAGCAGCCCTTTTATGACAGTGTTTCTTTGGAAAAACCTTTACCACTGCCAGCTCCTTTGAAAGGTTCAGAAGACATCCTAGTGACCAAAGACAGCAGCGTTAAAGATCAGGTGTCTGAAACATCCACAGAGTGCCTTCAGGAAAATCACACCTCAGTACCTTTGCTCTCCGGGTCTGAAGTAACTCCAGGAGATTCTGATATTCCGGCAGGAAAATCTGAAGCAGAAACAATAGATTCAGACTCACCACCAGGTGGAGATAGAAGATCATCCGATGGTAAGAAAGTTTGCTTTCCAGGGCAAATCCATGGGATGAGAGAAAGGAGGGAGTGTCTGGAGTATTAGTGCAGAACGAGAGGCTTGGAGTTGTTGGAGTTTGTGTGTCTCCCTGATGTACAAAACTTTGTACTGTGGGAAGACCTCTAGTGTCACTGTTTCAGGCAGATCTAAGCTTTTAAACATTGAAGTAGGAATACTATTTCTGTTCTTTGTACAGGGCCTACCATATGGGGCATTGAATTGTTTGTCCCTTAGGAGTGACTGCAGTGTTAATGTATAATCTTTAACAGTAATGATGGTGGTGATGATGTTATAAAATTCATGTACACATTAACAGAGCAAAGTAAACTGGGAAGAGCTCTGTCTCACTGTACTGATTTAAGGAAATCATGGTGACTAAAACAGTAATTCAAAAACTAAAAGAAGTTTCTGTTTGCCTGTTCCTTTAGAAGCTGGCACTGACTCCCTGCTTTGTAAAGAAAATAAGCTGAGAGATTCCTCTAAGAGCCCTGAACTGGAAAGTACAGATGGTAAGGAAGATGTGACGACGCAGGTGCTCCGAGATCCAACTTCACTGGAGATGGATTACATCCTTGTTACTGAGGAAGAAAATACACCTTCTACGAATGATACCCTTGAAAGAACCGAAAGTAATTTTGCATTTCAAGAAGCTAATGTAGCTGAACAGACAGAATCTGATGAAGGCTTTTTGCCAGGCTCCTTGGATACCTTTCAGACAATCTCCACTACAAATGAAAGCAAAGATCACCCTGTTCGTGGGACTGGTCAGGACTCCGTTCACTTAGAAGAAAAAGCTATTTCTGTCGTGCCTCAAAAGCTGGATGGTGAAAAGAGATCACAGGAAAGCTGTGGGCGAGATGAGGGTTGGATTATATTGGGCCAAAATGAAGTAAGTGACGTATCACCTGAAGAAATTTCTGCCGATTCAGAAATGCCAAAATCAGGGTCTGGACATCCTGGCGAAGAAATGGCAGTTGTTGCAGCACAGGAATTGATTCATGACACTTGGAAAGAATTTCGGGCAGAAACTCCCCTTCAGAAATCTTTGGAACATGAGGGCTGTTCTCCTTCAGATAGCCTGACTACTGAGGATCAAAGTACGGGCATTGCAGGAACACGTGTGTTGCACGTAGTTGGTGGTGATGGTGCATGGGAAGCAAATTCTCAACAGAAACTTGGAAATAACATAGCAACAGAACAAGAATTGAAGGAGGAAACTGTTCTGCTCAACAATAACAGAGAACTCAGTCAAAAATCAGGGTAAGGAAAAAACAACCTGTTTACTTTCAAAAGTCTTCTGTTCATTTGTTATATATGTTATTGCAGCATATGCCATTATGAACAGAAGGCAAGGCTTTCAATCTGAAGTATGCATTATATTTACATTATTTAAGGATCACTGTATTTCTCCCTTTCTAAAAACAGATTCTTGGTTCCTTGAAATCAGGCAAATTAGGATTGTTTTGGATTGCAGGAAGCATAAATCCACTTCATTGCAGGAATAAGTCTGTCTTCCTTCTGTGAAGTCCCAAAGACTGCATAACCTACCTTTAAACCTGAAACCGTTGTGGCCAGGGAACACAGGCCAAAGCCAGGTATAGATGGTATTGCCACTCCAGGTACAATGCCAGTGATGAGATTATGGAGGAATCTCTACTTAATGCAAAACTGTTGGGAAGGAAAATAGGAGTCTAGACCCAGAGTCAGAAAAAAGTGCTGCTTGTAGAGGGGGGAAAAAAAAAGGATTAGGGAAAGTTGTGATCTTTGTGATTATTTTCAAGCTGTAGTCAGGTCAGAGCAGTATTTCTGACTGTTTGGACTGAACTGGCAATTGAGGCAGTCTGAATATATATGGACCTGCTTTTGGGTGGACATGCAGCCTCTGTGCTGATCATATTACTGCTGCTAGGTGTCTCTCTTCTGTGTTGCCACTTGGAGACAGAAATGGCCCTCAACCTAATTTCCTGTAGCATACTGGGGAGGGTGTTTCTATTGCTGACATCTTTTACAACTGCTACATGTGGACTTCCAGGGCAGTGCCAGTGATGCATGTGTGGAAGTCTAACCTCATTTCTTCTGGGTATCTGCAACTCACATGCTGCAGTTTTATAAAAGAGGAACTTGGCATTGTGTTTATACAGAGAAATTCTTCAGAGTGGTAAAGGGAATTTCCAAGCACAAACAAAACTAGTCTTTATACCTGCTTTGTATTTGTTACTCCTTTCAAACTTCACTTACCCAAAAGAACATACATAGTATGGAACATGTGGAAACATACTGTTTGTGTGAAATGCAAGACTTATATTTTACTTTTGTTTTTTCAAGTTTCTTCCAAACTCTTCCCAGCTCAGTGTAGGATACACATCAAATTGACAACTTCTATTATCAGGCTTTAGGTGTCTTGCTTTTCACTAACAAGTTTTCAGTTCTAGCAGTAGGCCTTTTTCCCCCTTAAATGTGGCATGCCTGATGACAGCATGTACAAATAATCTGTGATAGAAAAGCACAGCTTTTTGCTGCCACTCTCCCCACCCCAAACAGTTCATATTTTATTGAGATTTCAGGAATAAATAGTATAATAGCTGTGAATTATCTTCCTCCAAATGTTAAAATACCTCTCCTCTAAACAATTTCACGTTTTTCAAAGAGTGTTTTGGCTGCCACAAAATCAAAAATGTTACAGAGGAGATATTTTTAATATATGGTCAGTGCTGGCTTCATCCTGAACAGAAACCCCAGTTTCAGAAACTCTGACATGTAATGATGTTATTTGCAGGCTTAAATTTGTGCATTATAGGACTTCAAGTTTTCTTGACAGACAAGATTTTGAGTAGTACAGCAGAACATACGTTGCCCTCACACTCTACCCTGGGCTAAAATTGCTTCAGTCTAACTAGACATATGGCATTGAGGAGACTATGAGGTAAGAGGGGCTCTGTTTCAGTAGAGCAGTGACAGCTTTTATTGATGCAGGCTAGCATTTCCTGTCATCAAGAAAGAGGAAAATCTTCAGAAGGCTTAGCAGAAGATGGGCCCTCACCAGATCTGTACAGTCTTAAGTAAACCAAATGCCAAGTGCTTGGCCTTGAAACTAGCAAAAAGTATAGCTGGTTGACACTGCATTTCTGTTGTGTTCAATCCTCTAAGCTTCTAAGTTCCATTCCTGAAGCAAAAATAGAAATTTTGAAGTTTTCTAGGAAACAAAAATCTGGAAGGAGCAAAATAAGCAAAATTCCCAAGCAGTTGTTTTGCATCCATGTTATTGTGTGGAAGGGTGGTTTGGAATCTGCAAATCTAGGAAAACTAGGCATCCTTTGACACTGAGGTGGCTTGTTTGTTAGGTTCACACCCTGTAAGCCATCTTCCTCCATTACCTCTGCAGGGTGTCACTGGGAGTTCATTCAGCAATTAGTTTTAATTAATAAATCTGCTTTTTGACAAGCCAGAAATCTTTGAATAAAAAAATGCTTGCCAACCTCTGCTCACAATCAGTGATGAATCGGATGGGAAACAAGAAGGGCTGTTTAGAGGTGCTTGCTAGTTGAAAGCTTGCAAATCTGAGATGAAGAAATTGTCTGTCAATTCCTCTGTCTCCCATAAAGCATGTTAAATTACGAGCAGCCAGATGCTGACCCTACTTAAATCGCACTGATTAATTACATGCAGGCAGCATCCTAGGGGTTTTTGACTTGCCATACTTATGTTACCATGATGTTTTTAAAGAAAAGAAAACTGGTCTAGGTATCTGATTTTAAATGATTTGTAAGTAAAACAGGACCATGGAGCTGAGAGAACTTTGAAGCAGTAAGGTTCTTTGTTAGATGCCTCAAGAAAAGAATCTGATTTTTGTACTTACACTGGTACTAGGAAAAACATTCCCTTGGCCATGGATTTATAGCCAGTTTTAACATCTTATTGCTATGAATTGTTAGATCCACTTTGAGACGAACTCTGCTGTTCCTTGGGAATTTCTGTAAGTCTCCAAGGTTCTATGTCACAGTCGTTCACCTTGAAGTTCTGGATGCAGTACATTCATTACTCTCAGAACTTAGTATATTCCCTTAAACTGATTCCCACATTAAAACCCCAAACTGGACCATGTCAATGTAAGTGTGTTTTCTGCAAAAATTTAAATGCATGATGGAATATGGTGCATCCTGAAGGAAAAAGATAAAGTAGTTCTTGGTAAAAAATATGTATAATCGCTATAGCTTCCAGTACAGGCATTTTTCTTATCTCATTTTAAAGTTGCTTAATGCCAAATGCCTTTTCTGTATGTAGCATTGGCTATTTCTGTCCTTTACAGTAGTGATGCTGAAGCCCAGAGAATTGAAGAAAAGCAAGGCAGTTATTTAGCTTGCAGATAAACAATTAATTGCGGGAGCATGGAACCAGTAAAATCCACTTTCCTTTGCGTTTAGGTTTTCTTGTTAGATTTTTTTATTGACTAGGTATAAAATCTAAAGGAAGTTTTTTCCAGCGTTAGTGTTATTAGAAGTATTTAATTAATCCTCTTGTATGAGGATTTCTTATGTAAGAGAGATTTCTTTCATGGTGCCATTTTCCCCTCAGGTTCCCCTGTGCTTGGTAGCTGATGCTCAGTAAACTTGTAACAGGCTTATGTCTTTGGTCAGTTAGATAATGACTTCAGACCTTTTAGGAGATAGCAGAGACATGCAGATGTCCCTGTGTGTGCCCACAGCATGATTGCAGAGGCCTTGATTACTTTGAAACCAAAGCAAACACACAAAAAATACTAGTATAAAAAAGGTATACGAATCATTATTTCTAGATGATATGTCAATTTCATTTAACCTTGTATATAAACAGTTTGCAAAACTGACCTGGTAGAAGTGTGTCATTAGGAAAGTTTTCTAATGCATCTCATTGACAGTTTTAAAAACACAAGTTCCTTCTTAAAATATAGCTCAGTGTGCAGCTTTTAAGTCTGAAATTAGCTGCCCTTAACCAACGAGGTTTAAAACAATGTGATACAGCAGAGCTGCTGGTCTGTGGGAGGTTAGCACAGAAACACTGGTGTCATCACATACGAGAAGAAACTAAGAATTTGTCTGCTTATTATTGCAGGAGAATTTTTGGATGACCTGGTGGTGCTAGTCATCAGGCTTTGAATCTACCAAAAATTTACATCAAAGTAGCTTTGGTAGAACTGAACCGAAGTCTCGGTAACTGGTACTGAGAAGTGTCCTTCTGTCTGAATTCTTGTACTTCTGAAAGGTCATAATTTTGACTCGGAAAAGTCTCTTGGAATCTTAACCAAACATGACTCTTTCCTTGACTTAATAGTCTTATTTCCTAGCTTATGTTTAATTAAGCCTGCTTGGCACCAGAAAATTAAGCATGCTTAATCTTACTGGATAGCTGTGCCCTGAGCATGGATTACATGCTGTGCTCAGGGTTGTTTTTTTCTGTCAAATGCTTTTTATTTAGACAATTAAGTTTGCATTCTGAACCTGTCTCTGATAGTAGTTTTAGAAGTCACTCCTGAATCCCGGGCTTTCTCTAGTACCGTTTTTGCTTCCCACAAGAAATCTCTCCTTGTGGCCTGCTGGTTGTTGTTTCATGTACCTCTTGGCAGAGTGTAGAAATCAGGTTCCTTATTTTTAAGTATGTAATTCGCCTTCATATATTTAAGTATGGCAAAAGCACAAGATTGTGTAGGTATGTTGGTGATAAAAGGAAGACTGAGGCATATGTGGGGCATCTCTGGAAGAAAGTGGGAGACCTAGTTACCCAGGACATGGAGAAATCTGAGGTACTCAACAGTTTTAATGCCTGTCTTCACCAGCAAGTGTTCCAGCCACACTGCCTGAGGCACACAAAGAAAAGACAGGGAGTAGGAAAAGGAAGAAGTGCCCACAGTAGAAGAAGATCATGTGCAAGACCATCTAGGGAGTCTGAAAGTGCTCAGATCCATGGGACCTGATGAGATGCATCCATGGGTTCTGGGGGAACTGGTGGACAAAGTTGCTAAGCTACTATCTATCCTATTTGAGAAACCATGGCAGTCCAGCAAGGCGCCCACTGACTGGAAAAGGGGAAATGTAACTCATTTTCCAAAAGAACAGTAAGGAAGACCTGGGGAACTACAGGCCAGTCAGTCTCACCTCTGTGTCAGACAAGATTATGGAGTAGGTCCTCCTATAAATTATGCTAAGGGACACTGAACATAAGGAGGTCATTGGTGACAGCCAACATGGCTTCACTAAGAGCAAATCATACCTGAGAAACATGGTTAT